AAGGAAAAAGAGTTCCTAGAGTCTGGAATGTCAATAACTTGAAAAAATTTTACCCCTAATGAAATTCTTTCAAGAGATCTATGTCTTGCTATTCTTTACGCTTTTCACTTCGTGTTAGTTGAGATTCATTTTACCTCTTATTCTATGTATCTGAGATCAATCAATTCATTCATTTCTTGAACCTCATTTCTGTTAATAAATGCCACTTCATATTTGAAGTGCTTTATCTTCCCTCAATTCATTTACAGTGATATACTTGTTATTAATTCACTTGAAGTGGTTTACTTCTCTGGAGTTCGTTTCTGAAGTGATTAACTTCTTTTTATTAACTATCCTTTTTAAAGGTAGCCTCAGTTCTTCTATCAATATATAATAATAAACAGGCAAACACAAATAAACACATAATTTCAAAAATGAATTTTCATTCAGAATAACATAAATATTACAAACTGTTTAACTGTCTTTACAAAAAATCAAAAAACAAAATTATTTCTCTGATGGGAGAGGTGGCTCCACTGGCTCCTACTCAGCTGGAGGAGGTGGCTGAGTTGGCTGAGTTGGCTGTTGCTCGTCCGGTAGAGGAGGCTGCTCATCGTCAGAAGGAACTAGATGAATCTCCACTTCTGGAACTGGTTGGATCTCACCCACTTCAATTCCCTCCACTCCTGCCTCCATCTCGTCCTCCTCTACCTCTGCCCCTTCTTCCTTCATTGCAACGAACTCGAAGTCGAACTGTGGAGGAAAAATAGTAAGACCGTCTGCATCATCCTCCCACCTCAGCTTAATCTGAGGACGGAAGTCTGCTGACATGCTCTCGCCATCCTCCTCCACTCCTCCTTCTTGCTCGCCGAAGGTGATCTTTGTCACATCCACTTTGGGATATTCAGCCTTCACCTTCTTTCTGCAGTCTGTGAAAGCAATGATGGCAGTGGGCAGCCAGTACAAGTTGACGATGCTATCAAACGAGCTGGAACTGATGAAGTTGTTGATGTGCTCCTTTATCCCATTATGCACCAACTTCCGCATGTTCCCCTTCAGCTCCTTGAATGCCTCTGTCATCAGCTTCATTTCTTGCGCCTGAGCCTCACGCTTGCTTTCAGCGATCCTTCGTTTGCTCTCTTCAAAAGCGAGCTTGGTGCTCAGGGAAGCCCTCTCCTGCTCCAACTGTGAAACAGTTGGAACCACATCGTTCAGAGACACTTGCAGTTCCTTATTTTTCTTCTCCAACTCCTCCTTCTCCTTCTGCAACTGGTCCCACTGCCTCTGCAAGAGTGCGCGATCCTTCAGGCTCTCCTTGAATTCCTGGGCTAGACCATTCACCCAGCTCACGCTCTGCAGATCAAAGCTGAAGTTAAAAAAAAAAAAAAATGAAGAGAAGGCGAAACAAGTTCACTGCACAACACCAATACTTTAACATACCTCTAGAACGTGCTTCACCGCGGACGCTCCACCATACCTCAGAGCTTCCTGCCGCGCGTTGCATTGGTCCACTTCGGGGAAGGTGTTGTTGATGATCCACCTAGCCCCCGTTATGTTCTTCGCCTCGAACAGGCTGCTCTGAGGCCCCAGTGGGGGAATAAGGCCCTTTCCCTTACCAGGAGCTCGTACCTCAGCCCCCTCCTCCAACTGTCTGAGCTCAGGGTCCAGCTCAACAGGAGAAGGCTGAGGTACGAACACAGGGACCTCATTCCCTGTCTCCTCCTCCACCACCCTCTGCTTCTTCTGCAGTGCCCTCCTCTCCTCCCACCCCTTTCTCTTTAACTGTGGCACTTCCTCCTCCACCTCAGCTGAGATCGTGGGCACTACCTCCTTCCTTACCCTCCCCTCATCCACTTGCTTGGTTGAAGTCTTTGACTTCTTCCTTGGCTTCTTGGGGATGGCCGCTCTTTCAGCAGTGTTCAAGAACTGATCCATTTCAGCTGCAAAGCAAGAATACACAATATTAATCACAGTTCTATACTCTACATTACTTTACATTCAGTACTACAATGCAGAACTAAACCAACCTTCACTCAAAGCGCTTGGCCCATAGAGCTCGGCAGCTTCTATGCATTGTGCGCTAGTGAGATCCAAAATGTTTAATAAATCCCCCCCTTGATCACCAACCTCCCCACTTCTTCCTCCTCATCCTCATTTAAGCTAAACCTATTCTGGTTGGCCCTTTTGGCCTTCCAGGAGGCTAACTCCCTCACCTCGGCATCCCCTTTCCCCCACTCCGTATGATCTACAAAAAAGAATTTCTCCTTCCATCCTTTAAT